CAACAAAAGAAACCCCCTTTCGGCTTACCTGTGGTACCGACGCCATGGTGCCGGTAGAAATTGGAGAGCCGTCATTCAGGAGAGAGAATTTCAAGGAATCGGCCAATGAAGAGGCTCTGGCCGTCAACCTGGACTTGATAGATGAGATCCGTGACCACGCTGACATCATGACTGAGGCTAGTAAAAGAATGATGGCTAGAAAATTCAACTCCAAAATAAGTCCACGACAATTCTACAAAAACGACCTAGTATGGCGGGTAACCGGGGACGCGCGCAAGGATCGACAAGAAGGGAAGTTGGCAGCCAACTGGGAAGGCCCCTTTCGGGTAGCGGCAAGATTAAATAATGGAGCATACAAATTGGAAACCCTGGCAGGAAAATTAATACCAAGAACCTGGAATGTCACTCATTTAAAACATTATTATAGCTAAAACCTTGTAATACGTGCACAGGTGTACTCTTTTCCTATCTCAGGTTTTATCCTCTTAAAAGAAAGTGAAAAGGGGTTTTCCTGAGAAGGTTTTTAACGAGACACCTAATCAATAAAATTTCTCTTTCTTCACCTATACGGTTTTTTACGCATTACACACCTTTCAAGCACCATTCCCTCCCAAGTTTCACTTGGCCAAGGTTGAATTGTTTCCCTCCCGAGTACCCCACTCGGTCAAGAATGCAGCAATTATATTTCCCTGCCGAGTACCCTCACTCGGTCAAGGATGAAATAATATATTCCCTCCCAAGTTTCACTTGGCCAAGGTTGAATTGTTTCCCTCCCGAGTACTCCACTCGGTCAAGGATGCAGCAATTATATTTCCCTGCCGAGTACCCTCACTCGGTCAAGGATGAAATAATATATTCCCTCCTAAGTTTCAATTGGCCAAGGTTGAATTGTTTCCCTCCCGAGTACCCCACTCGGTCAAGGATGCAGCAATTATATTTCCCTGCCGAGTACCCTCACTCGGTCAAGGATGAAATAATATATTCCCTCCTAAGTTTCACTTGGCCAAGGTTGAATTGTTTCCCTGCCGAGTACCCCACTCGGTCAAAGATAAAACAATTGTATCTCACTTCTGAGTACCCCCACTCGGTCAAGCGTGAATTATTTTTCCTTCAAGCATCTCTTGACTAAAAGGTTGAAATACCTCAATCCTGAATACTCTCGCTCGGTCAAAATTAACGAATTACGAGGAGTTCTTAGTTACCATTTGGTTAAAGCTGAATTTTTAAAACGAGATCATCTCCTCGTCCCCTACTCGGCTAAATATAAGTATATTAAGTGTATATCGTATGGAAGTTATTTGGCCAAGGATGATTATATTAAGCATATCGTATACATTGTTAGGGCAAGTTATGTGACAAAATACAAAGCATGAGAAAAAAGGATAAAATTCTATTTCAAAATAACTGGTTGCAAAATGTGGGCACTAATGACCCATGAATACAAAGGGCGAATAATTTAACTTTCTATTCTTTCCACTGCCTCGGGAGCGGCTACCTCAGGGTTAGCAGTAACCTCAGGGAGGCGTCTCGGCACTTCGACGTCGGGTTCTACATCATCCTCAACTTCGGTGTAAGGAATGAACCTCCCGCCAAAAAAGTCCTTTGTAATGTCAAAATGAAAGTCTACCGGTACTTGACAGAACCCATGACACTGGCGAATAGCATGGTTAAAACCGGCTTCATGCTCGTAAGATACTTGCTGAGAACACTTCTCGGCAAAGTTTCTCATCTCGGTTTCAGCCTTTTGCCTCTCCAGCGCCAAGGCTTCTTCCATCTCGACAGATTTGGCCCGTAAAGCCTCCTCCATTTGACAGGACTTTGCCTTTAACGCCTCCATCTCCTCCCCCCGAACCCTCGCCACCTCCTCGGCTGCATGTACTCGGTCCTCCATTATTTGAAAGTGCTATTTGTATTGATTAACCTGACCCTGCAGGGATTGAACGGTCTCGTCCAAGCTAGCTTGAATCTCTCTACTCTCGGCCAAAGCCTCTTCAGAAACCGAATAGGCGGCCTTTAACTTCTTAACTTCGAGAATAGGATCCACAACCAGCCGTCGGAGCATTGCGGTGGACCGTACATGAAGTTCTGCGTAGTAGCGCCACAGAGACTCATAGTCCAAACCGTCGACCAGTTCCTTCCCTGCATCAGATAACAGGTTTGGAGCAGCGAGCCGACCAGCATGTGTCCCGCTTACCAAGAACCCCTCGGCCAGCATGTCCAAGGGAACTATGGGAGAAGAACTGCTTCCCTTCCCAGCAGCTACCACTCGGGTCTGACTCCGACCCCCTTGAACGCCGCCAGGCTCACTCGAGTGGGCATGCCGTCTCTTTCTTTCCTTTTCGGGCTCCTTGCCTTTGCCCTTGTCCTTGCGTTTCTTGGAAGGGCCTTCGGCTGGAACAAAATCTTGGGGAGGAGGGCGAGGTTCTGGCACCTCGGGAAGTTGGTCGATTTGAGGATGACGATGCTCCTCAACGGGCGTCCCTTCGGGCATTCTCTGCTTCAAAGTACGCCGGAAGGTCGGCACATCCACACCTCGTTGAGCCATTAAACCTGCATTAACCATAGCAAGTCAAATCAATATAGCTCAATTCCAAATACAAGTCAGAAATGAAATAACACATACCCTCCATATCCCACCGAGGACGCGGAGACTTGAGGACGAGGACTACATGTCGGGCAGGAATGTCCCGGGGAAGGGACTTCAAGAATTGCAAATCCGATAGCTCCCTAGCCGATAACATATCCTCAGGGTATGTGTCCTATCGGCGCGGCACCCGAGTCCAGTGAAAAGGGAATAGGGGGATTGCCCTCGCTATCAAAAAAATAATTTTTACCTACAGGGTCCACGGTTACCTTGAAGAAACCGGTCTTGAAACCCTTAAAAGACGACGCATATTGTTTAAAGAGGGGCAACTCGGGTTGCCTTATTAGAGAGACCCACCTCGCCAGGTCAGATGGACGCGTACAAAAAAAATGAAGAAAAAGACCTACACTAGGCTCTATATAATGGAATTTACAAAGTATCCTAAAGGCTTGAAGTGCCGCCCACCCGTTCGGATGTAGTTGTGTTGGCGCTACATTCAATACCCTCAAAGCCCCCATTTGGAAATCGTCAAAAGGGAGCCTGATACCTAATTCCCTAAACATATACTCATACATAAAGAAGGTGTCGGCCATTCCGACACCTCCCAGGAAAACAAAATCTGGGTTCTCACCCTCGTCCCCTTGACAGGGATCAAGGTGTATAGGATACGGGTCACAAGCCTCCCATAAAGAAATATCACAATTATCTACAAAAAATTGAAGACTTTTATTTCTTTTGAAACAAGAAAAGTAGGCGGCCACTTCACCGTGCACCCACTCATAACCAGGCACCGTGCAAGGAGGAAACACCTGCCTTTCCCGAGGAGGACTAGTGCTGGGAAGGGGTTCAGGAGCGTCAGTATCACTTGACGATGACGTCTCGGTTTCGCTACTACCTTCGCCGACCTGTGCCTCTTCAGTCCTCTAGTTTGAAATAGACGAAACTTCGCCACTCCCCTCGGTTCCATTTATAATATCAACCTCAATGGTACTCGGCCCCGAGGCATTCGACAAGGAATCCTCCCACTCAATACGATCAGCCATGATAGAAAAGAAGTTAAGAAAAAATGAAACGCACCTTGCTAGTAGTCGGTAGGGAAGAAAAGCCTAGGATCTCTGAACACTCGTCGGTTTGGAGCAAAGGTATGCAGGGTTCGGCACAGAGCAAAAGAGTAAGAAAGGGATGAGGGACCACCACATATTTATAAGGGACTGATGTCGGGCAAACGAAAAGACGCCCTTTCGTTTCAAACCATCAGATCCCTTCCAGATCAACGGAGGAGATGGAGCACCCCTTCGCTTCACATACCCTCTGGCAAATCCTCAAAACCAACATTCTAGAATATTCCTTTGCAAATTTATTATTTATAATCTCGCCCTATACCGTGTTGTTACTAAACCGACTACTCCTCAGTGTAAAAATTAATACATCAAACGTTACCATCAATCGAGACCGGACACCCCCACGATGACCCCCTCAGTACAATAAAAAGCACTCCAACCAAATATCTATTCTAATATTACCATCTCCATTTTTTAAGCCCTTGCTTCGCAACTCGCCGGGCTTGTGGGGCTAGTGTACTAGGAAAGGAATCAACTCGGTTCCACCATCAGCAAAAAGAAACCGAATACCTACTCGGCATACTAGGCCGGTACCCCTAGTCAGGATTAAAAGGTAAATAATCTAATTAAAGATAATCAAAAATACTATGGGCCTCAAATATAAAAATTGACTCAGGCCCATTAGCCCAATAAAATATCTATAAAAAGAAGATAAGAAATACAGGTGAGTAGTTAACTTCCGATCATTAAATAACATTTATTACTCAAAACCGAATCCTGACTTTATCATCGGAGTGTCTTTTGCATGTATTCTCCCTATTAGCAAATCAGCAGCAGGACGCCTGATCAGAGGTTTGAAGACAGTTATTTCACAAGGAAGGAACATCTATCTTTTTATTTATCTCTTTCTTAACATTTCTACAGAACAATTTTTTTCCAGACAAACGAATGTCGTATCTACTCTTTTCACTTGAGTTTTTGGTATCATAGGGTCATGTGAAATAAAATATAAATCCCTTCGGTTTCGTAATTTTTTTTTTTGAAATAATAAGTCATTAATGTTTTTTCTGTGTCTATCAGAATTATGCAAAGAAAAAGAAAAGGTCTTTTAAACGATTTTTTTTTATACTAAACTTGTTTTTTTTTTTATCATAAGTCTTAAATAAGCAAACTCATTTAAATGAATAAATCCAATAATCTTACACAATTTTATTTTCTTTATCCAATGTGTGCCGTACACCGGAAATGACATTGCAACCCCTCAACTACTGTGCCTGAAAATTGAAATCAAGCTCTCTGATATTAAAAATCAAACTTCCTTAAAATGAAAAAACCTCGTCGCATGATTGGACAGTCATCAGAACAAAATGCATCAAGCTTCCCTCTGTGCTGTCTCAAATTCAACAGCTAATCTTCCATCAATGTCAAACCGCACCCATTTCAAGCTTAGACAGTTCAATCGAATTAGGAGCCAGTCTCACATGAGTATTACCCCAACACAGCATAGGTGGACTCTTCAGGACATGACAGCTCTTGTCACTGGTGGGACTCGCGGAATTGGGTACCAAGATTTCAACTTTCACGCTCATGCTTCTGACCCTTTTCACCCTTTTTATTTATTTAACTTGTAATTTGTTGTTGTGGGGTGTGTAAAGGCACGCCATTGTGGAGGAATTGACGGGGTTTGGGGCCAAAGTGCATACATGTGCCAGGAATGAAGAAGATCTCAGTAAGTGCCTCAAGGAATGGAATGATTCGGGTTTTGAGGTTACTGGCTCTGTTTGTGATGTCTCGGTTCCTGTACAGAGGGAGGCTCTGATGGAAGCTGTTTCCTCTGTCTTCCAGGGGAAACTCAACATCCTTGTAAGCCCCTCTTTACAGTGTTTGATGTTCATAATCATAATTAAAGTATGCAATTAAAATGGGGGTCGTTTAGAATTTTGTTCACGATTGCATTGATGTTCACTTTGGATTTGTAAAGCCTCTTTATGTAGACATATACATTAGGTTAAAGAGTAAATGCCGATTATAGTCTTTATAAACGTAAATTAATTTAGTCCTTAATTTTATAAGAATCTCACTTAAATCTCTAACTTTAATGACATTCATTTTAATCTTTTTAATATAAAGCGACAATAAAAACTGAACGTAAAAAATGACTAAAATGAGAGTTTTATAAAATTAAGGACTAAATTGATGACATTGCTAAAATAAATATTTACTCTAAGTTAAAATATACATTTGATCCTTATATTTAGTATTCATTTACGAATCAGATACTCTGATTAAAAAACTTATATCTTAATTTTTATTGAACTGTTTTGTTTATGTTTTAATTTTTGTCATATTAGAAAAATACTAATAATGAATTACAGTAACCTTTACCGATAATGTTATAATGAGAGAAACTAGACTTATTTATAAATGAATCTTAACTATAAGAACTAAATTTATATTTTAACTTGCATGTTAACATGTTTGATTTGATGTATAGATAAACAATGTAGGGACAAACATTCGGAAACCAGTGACAGACTTCACAAGTACAGAGTTTTCCAGTCTCATTGATACCAATTTAGGATCCACCTTTCATATATGCCAACTTGCATATCCACTTTTGAAAGCATCGGGAATGGGGAGTGTTGTGTTTATCTCCTCTGTTTCTGGTTTTGTCTCACTCAAGTCCATGTCTGTTCAAGGAGCAACGAAAGGTAATTAACCTATTCAATACTGTATTTCACCTTGCTTAACAAATGCTGTGATATTTGTGTTTATCAAATTTTGAAGATTTGTTTGTTTTCTGATTTATAGGGGCAATTAATCAACTTACAAAAAATCTAGCTTGTGAATGGGCAAAAGACAATATACGAAGTAATGCAGTTGCACCTTGGTACATCAGAACTTCAATGGTAGAGAAGGTAATTTCTTCTTCTTTATCCTGTAACTATGAGTTAGAATGAGCTTCCCATGACACTGATTAGTATCATGGTATTGTAATACCATCACTTTTTCCGAAAAACTTATTTCAAAAATAGAATAGCTTTGAGATTACAAGGACATACACCAAACAAATATACACTATATGGCAGAGAGACTGACCATATCAGATTTTTACTGCCTTCCAAATATCTTAGAAGATTATTTGTGTTAAGACACTTTTCTGATACCATAACTGGACGATCCAGGAATTGATTATGAATCTAAAATCACACCAAGTCATTGAACATACTACTAGTACTCTCACACCAACAAATTACATTTTCCTAGCATAGAAATCAGTGGAAAATATTTAATTTGTGTGATTACCCTGACATAAAATTGGTGCTGCAATTGGTTTTGCAAAAAGTTATAACAGTAGTCGGTAGTTTTCCATTCCCTGTGTTCACATTGCAGCTGGGTAAATTGCATTGCATTAGGAATCTTAGTATGGCAGGAACTTACACAGTGCTATGAAATGCTGAAGTCTAATGTGGCAATCAGATATGAAATGTTATCCAACTTTTGCAAACTTCCTTTAGGTGCTCAGCAACAAAGACTATCTCGAAGAAGTATATTCTAGAACTCCTCTTAGGCGCCTAGGAGATCCAGCAGAAGTCTCTTCTGTTGTTGCCTTTCTTTGCTTACCAGCATCATCATACATCACTGGCCAGATTATTTGCATTGATGGAGGAATGTCTGTGAATGGTTTCTACCCAACACAGATCTAAGAGTTTCAGCTTATATCATGCACTCTCCTTCCTACTAATTTTCCTCTACACCTGCCATTCTTGTGGAGCATTTGGCATGGTAAATTGTGGTTCTTTGTCATACTTACAGAATTTTGAGCTTTAGTCCACCAGAAGTCCACAGAGTAATGTGCTTGTTCTTAGCATGACACAATCTTTGACAAAGAAAAAGTACAAGTTTATAACCGCTCTAATTTGTGCAACGTGACTTTTAACTTGGTGAGAAATAATAATTATTTTTTGTTAATTTTTATTTCTTTTTATGTTTATATGACATTTATTTAAAAAAAAAAAAACTTTACGTGAGTTGTATTGAAATTTAATCCCTATAAAAACTTTTATATTTATATATTATGTTATTTTTTATTTCTTTTTATGTTTAAATGTATATCTTTTTACAAAAGAGAATAGTAGATAATAAAAATTTTCTTTAGAGTTATTAACTTATTATATTTTAACTCTTTTTAAATGTCATTTCATTATTTTAATTTTAAATAATAAACTACATCAATTTAATATATTTTTAATTTTTAAGTAAATCAAATTTTAATATTCTTGTATTCTTAATCAGTCTTTGAATTTTAAATTTTTTTTATAAATTTTTCTTAATGTTAAATATTTTATCACTTTAATTTGGACCTATTTGTTATATAAAATATTTATTTTTTAATTTATTAAAATTTAAAACAATCATATAGTATATTTTTCATTTTTTATTTTTTATTTTTAAAAAGTTAATATAATTATACCCATAAAGTGCATAAAAATATTAATACTTTTATAATATAAGAATATACAAAATAATATACGTGATATAATGAAGAAAAGAAACTTAATTACAAAAGAACATTGTAAATGTAATTTATTAAAAAAAAATAGTATTCTCGATATTAAAAAGCCTCCCAAGTAACTTACTTTATTTTCTTAATCATAATTGAGGCTCGGGGTGAAAAATAAAATAATATTACAAAAAATTTAATAATAAATATAATAATAATAATAATAATAATAATAATAATAATAATAATAATAATAATAATAATAATAATAAAGTAAAAAATATATATTGATGAAAAAAATCTGAATTTAACATTATGCAATCTTGTAATAATATTTGTTTATATTTTGAAAAGCATATTATATATTAAAATATTTGTCATTTTATGAAGTATTTAAAAATTTTAAATTTTATAAATTTTTGAAAACTTGATGTATTTATAGGAAACTCTTAAACTAATGAGTTAATAAAATCTAATATTTATAAAAAAAATATTAAACCAAACAAGTTAATTAAATTTTACTTTTAAAAAAAATCTGTTAGGAGGTAAGTGAACGTGTATTGTAATAGTTGTATCCATATTTTTATTTGTAATTTTTTATAAGAATTATTGTTTAATAATATTTTACAAATATTAAATTTTGTCAATTCAGCTGTTAAATTAAAAAATATTCTTAAATGTATTACTGTGTATAAAAATTTATACAAATAAAAAAAATGATTAACTAATTATTGAATAATTTTACTTTAATATTTAATATAATTTTTAAAAATATAAATAAATATAAAATTATGTATTTATGATTATATAATTTATCTAAAATTTAACATTATCAATATACACATGTCACTTTATAATAACAAACTTATCCATATTTTTTTTTATAAATATTTTGAGTAAATAATCGTCTTATTAATTATAAGTATTTTTACGAGGACTTATTAACGTTAGGTTTTTTTTAAGGGAAATGGAGATTGAAACTGTAGAAGTTGAAATAGAGTGTTCTAACATTTCAATGGTTTGGTTTAACTGATGAAATATGCACTTTTTGTTTTTCTCTCTTAACCGTGAAATGGGACCCTCTTGCAATATCAACTATTTTTTCTTTAATTGTTTAAAAATATTATTATGGAAAATTATAGATGAATTAATAATAATTTTCTATTAACACAAGATATGCAATAGTTTTTTTATTTCTTATTTCTGTCCATCTAAATAGAGCCGGCAAAATGTACTTGCTCGATGAACTGGGCTGAAAAAACTTATTAAATGGGCAGACTTTGGTTCTAAAAAATAAGGCCCAAAATTACTTAGGACTATTTTGGCTTGGTCCATATAAGCTTGATACCCGGTAGGACTTTAACCAGGCTAGCTCATGTGGGCTCAGACAGCCCCCCCCCCCACACACACACACACACATATATATATATATATATATATATATATATAAAGAGAGAGAGAGAAATGACCAAAGAAAAAGAAGAAATGATCAAAGAAAAGAAGAAGTGACTACAGTATAAGGAGACAAGATGATTAAGATAAGAAGGAATCTCAAAACAAGAAAAACTTCTCTATAAAAGTATGAGAAGAAGAAGAGGCTCGACACCAGCTTATTTCCATATAAAAAAATCTCTCTTATCATATACTAGCTCAAAACTCTCTTTATAATCTTTATTTCAATATCCAGACTTGTACTAGTTCTTTCAATACAATACAAGATTTTCTGTAAGTTTTATTAGCATTTTATATATCTCTCTTTACTTTATTATTATCTTTCCCAGTTTTCAATAAAAAATCAGAATGTTGTGCAATCCGTTCTCAGTTTGGTATCAGAGCCTAAACAGGTTCTAATTTTTAGGAGGGGAGAGAGAGGAGAGTATTAGTGGACTATATAAGCTTTAAGTTTTACAAACTTAAAGTTCAAGATAGGTTTAAGATTTTAAAATCTAGCTTGAGTGTAGTAAGCTCGCATAGTGGTCCCGGTAGTAAGTCTAGAAGATGGCAGTGAATCCGTTGGTCAGCTAGGGTGTTTCCGTCGTATAAAAGGTTGTATTTTAAAATAACAAACTATTAAGAACTATGAGTAAGTTAAACTTAGGACTTAATAATTAGCTAGTAAAGAAAGAAATGAATGAAGATGGAGCCTCAACATCTGGTTCAACAACCCCACAACAAATTACAATAAATGATATAGAAATTTTTTTGCATAACTAGTCAATACCTATAATAAAAGAGAAAGATGACAACACTACAAAAGCAATCAGAATATTCATAAAATCTCCAGATAATATAGTAGACAATACATTTCACCATTTTCATTTAATATATGGGGTATATTACAAGATTACAAAAGTAAATTATGGATTCAAAGTTAGAAGAGAAACTCCTAATAATGAAACAACAATAATACAAGCTAATTTAGGAAAAAGCGTAATACAAGTACTTAGAAAACTACAACATGAAGAATTAAGTATACTAGAAGAATAGATTTTAGAAGAAACAAGAGAATCTAAAAAAATCTACAATACTGAAATTAGAGAAATAATAGAAGGGATTGATGAAAAAATAAGATTAATAATAAATAGATCTTCATCAATAAGAATTAATAATCCTCAGATAATAAAAGAACTTTCAAGACACTCGATAGACTCCACAATAAATTTAGATTTAAAAGGAGTAAGCAATATTACTAAACCAGGAATTTCAATACAAATATATAATTTTGTTCTACAAGATAACAATAGTGAAGGAAACTATAGTCCTACTACATCACAAATATTAAATACAGTATCAAAAGAAGAACCTTTTAAAATAGACAAAATTTGGATAAAAGACGAAATAGATGCAAAATACAATAAAGAAATTAAAACATTAAAAAAAGAAATATATGAATTAAACCAAAATAAAACATTAGAAAAAGAAAAAGACAGATACAAAACTGCTTTTTAGTACCTTTTGGACATTATGAGTGAAATGTAATACCACAAAGTTTAAAAAATGCTCCTAGTGAATTTCAAGAAATTATGAACAATATTTTTTATCCTTATGTAGAATTCGCTATAGTATATCTAGATGATGTTTTAATATATTCAAAAGAAATTCAACAACATATATAATATGTACATAAATATATAAAACTAATAAAATCAAATAGATTAGTAGTATTAGCCAAAAAGATGAAAATATTTCAAGAAAAATTAGATATTTAGGATATGAAATATTTCAAGGAACAATTGTTCCAATACAAAAAAAAGGTCATTAGAATTTGCTGAAAAAATTCTAGACCAAATAAAAGAAAAAACACAATTACAAATATTTTTAGAATGTCTGAATTATATAGCAACTTTTATTCTAGACATTAGAACAATATGTGCCCCTTTATACAACAGGTTAAGAAAAAATCCACCACCTTGGGATGAGAATATGACCAATACTATTAAAAAAGTAAAGGTTTTAATCAAAACCCTTTCTTGTATAGGAATACTAAATCCTAAAGCATTTTTAATTATAAAAACAGATGCATCAGAATTGGGATATGGAGGCATATTAAAACAGGTTTTATCAAAAAGTAAGAAGGAACAGGTAGTAAGATACTATTCGGGTATATGGCATCCAGCACAATAAAAATATTTTGTTGTTATAAAAGAAATATTATCTATAGTATTATGTTTACAAAAATTTCAAGATGATCTTTTTAATAAAAGATTTCTAATAAGAATTGATTGTAAAGCAACTCCCAAGTTTTACAAAAAGATGTTAAAAATTTAATTTCAAAATATATTTTTGCTAGATGGCAAGCCTTATTAAAAGAAATAAGAACTATTTACCAAATTATCTTACAAGAGAATTTTTACAGGAAAAATATTTCTAAAATGACTAGTTCTCATTATGGAACTCCAAAAAAGAAAGAGGAATCAAAACCTCCTTTTCCTTCTACTCTAACAAAATCCAAACCAGAGAAAGGAAAGAAGGTAATGACAGCCATACAAGTCTTACAAAATTCATCCATAGTAACCAAACCTATTATCCCTTCAGAAATCATCCAACCAGCCAATAAATTTGTAGTATTAGGATCTCCTAGTTCTACAAAGCAAGTACCATTAGAGAAATAATATGTTGAAAAAGAAGGATGTATTCCCATAATGACTATAGAACCAGATTGGCTCTCTTTACCAAGAAATGAAATAGCAAAAAAGATTTTTCCTCAAAATTGTCATGTTAAATTTTATGAACTTATTTTAGTTGATACTCAATCTATTGAGTTAACACATCAAAGAGATGAGAAAGCTCAAGAAATAATATTTTCAAAATTTAAAATAAACAAGATTTTAACAATACAGGATTAGGGATGTCCTCTTTTCCATTATAAGCTATTTACAATAAATTACCAGCTAGCACAATACAATTATTTCGATTATATTGATGCCTGGAGAAACATCATGTATCTTGAAACCCATTCTTGG